CGGCTCGGCATTTTGTTACAAATCGATGGAAAATGTAAGAACTATGTATACCTGTAACGCATACATTTTTATCCGCAATTCTTCATTTACTTTCATAATGAAAGTTTTTCGTAAGTGTACCAAATTGGTCAAATATTGATCTCTCTGCCCATCTATTGTAAAAGGCCGCCACGCTTTGAGAATTTGTCCAAGAGATTAAATGAGTGAACTGAAGTACTAGTGTGCTTACCTTTCTCTTATTTACTTTTTACTTCTCAATTCATATTCGAATACAAAGTAAATGTATTCGCCGGTTCACTTATAATTAGCGTAAATCTAATAACTGAAAACTTAGCTCTTAATCTTATTTGCGCAATAATCTTCGCACATTCTTCCTTTCTACCTATAAGTGTACATTTATATGTGGTGTCCCTCGGCTCTTTTGTGTGTGCGTATGCATAGCGTGGAGCGTGAAGAAATGAATATGATATATAAACACATCGTCCGTGTATATAGTATCCTATTTATAAAATCATTCGGATAGAATTGTTGATTAAGTTTGTTTTTATCTATAAAAATTGTAACCCTACAATGTTGTAAATGATCAGATTCGAAAATTCAATATGAACCGGATATAATTTATTTTTCATTATTATAATTATTAACGTAATTATTGTATATTTTTTGCTCATTCACTACTCAATACGCTGCATACCCTTTATGGACTATGGATATGCATAGTGGTGGGCTAAGGAAGCGTATACAGGTATAGATTTGCCTACGTAAACATATACATATGCATATACAATTGTAATTCCCTTTTACTGTGTTTATTCTTGAGTTCTGCTGCACTTGAAAAGCAAAAAACAAGAAACAAAAAACCAAACAAGAAAGGAAACATCAAAGAGAATATTAATAAGAAGTGAAATGCAATACATGGTCGTCACACGTACAAATAAGAATTTCTTTACGGCTTTGTATTCAAACACTTTAGTAAGGTCTTTGTTAAGTTACGGCAGCATATAACATACATATGTTTGCATATATAAATGTTTCATCTACACATTTCCATATATAAGTAAGTATCGGCCATATGTATGCGCACTTGCTTTGTATTCAACAACGAAGCCGAATCTGTTCTGAATGTCACGAAAATCCCTACTGAATAAGATTGCTTACCCTTTGCCTTTAGAACTACGTTGACTTTGAATTTAAATTCAGTTTTCTCTTTAATTGAAAATTCAATCCTTTTAAATTTCAACTTAATTTGGTCTTCAGCTTATTGCGCCATAGAAGTATCCATCTATCTTATAGATTAGAGTACAATTTGTTAAGAAATTCATTCGAACTTCTGCTTCTAAATCTGCTTCTCTCTCTAAACAAAATTTTTATCTATTTAATCGATTTTTTATTATATTATTACGTTAAATCCCTCTTGAAGATACAATCACTTTTGATTTATTCTTATTACGTTTGTTCTTCTATTGTGAATGATCTAAAAAATGTTTTTACAATTTTTTTTATTTATTTTTTATTTTAATTATAAGCACAGGAATGAACTACTGGGATGATTATACCCTACAGCACTTACGGTACACCCAGAAGGACTTTATTACACCGATCGATTCATCTAAGCTTGTCTGTCGACTTGTCCATCTATTTGCCTTGTTTTTTGATGTTCAACTTACAGATCGCAATTTTTGGCATATTTTGATAAAATTTCATACACGGACATGTTTTAGCTCAAGAACCAGCGCCAAAGAAAATAGATGGTCCCGTAATATGTAACACCACTTTCCTTATTGCAGTATAAAATTTCGTGAAATAACTCACATTCGCAATATTAAAAAAATTAATATCCCTTCCAGTTAACGGACAATATTCAGATAAAATCATCTGTTCTGTCTTCGTTCACTTTTTTTTATTATTATTAATATAATTAATTTAGCCAGATAAAGAACTTCGAAGATTAACATCTTAAAGCATTAACATTTAAAACTATTGGCTTTATTGAAAACTTTACTGCACCTGCCATTTGATACCATGACAATTAAGTTGTTAGTCGAGGTCCTTAGTCTACTCGTTATTTTCAAAACAATGGAAAAGCCCGAAGGTCATGCTTTGATTAAACATTGCTTTTTGAACGAAAAAATACTCATCCAAGTCAGGATTGAAGGCGAAAACAACGATTTGCTACTTTTAAACGAGGTCACACGAACATCTTAGTATTCTGAACGCATTGAACACTCAAACGCAATGGTAGTACCAGAAAATAAGAAAAAAATGCTACAACTTATTCGCTGAAAAGCGAGATCGAAAAGATATTTGGTGTCCTAAGCATACCACCGCTTGTTATGTATGCATTCAACACTTGGTATGGCAATTTGAGCAGAAGGTACTGCATTTCGACTCTCCATAGAACAATAACATCTCCATCAAGTCGACGGCTTGAATGGCAAATGTGCTCATATCGAAATCCATATAACTGCCCTACTCGGCGTATTTCGTAAGTCTACCTCCAAGCGACAATTATCTATTTGCAAATCTAAAAAAATGCTCCTCACGAGAAAATGGATCAAATAATCGAATCATCGCTAAAACTAAGGTTGACGCATTGCAAAAGACGTTGGCCTGATTGTTCATCCTTAAAGGCAGGCATGTTGATGAATAAAGTCGAACTTTGCCAAAAAAAAAAATGTTTTTCTCCTATTTCTATTGCCGACATAATACGAAGATTAATAAATTGAGGTAAACAGCAGAAAATATCAAACGGCTGGGAGAGGGGAGACGAAAAGAAGAAGAAACTGAACACTCTCTTGGTCAATAGGCCCATGGATAGATCTTACGGATATTCGTAATCAACTTGACGAGAATGATAAGCAAAAAAAATTTCAAATAAATTTTCTTCTTTTAAACAAGTTTGGCGGTCGTAATTGCGATTTCAACATAACCGATTCGGCGATGTATCAAAAATTTCATTGATCTATGATATTAATTTCCCTGTATTACAAACCTTTTAGTTTCCATGTGTTACAAACCTTTACTATGTTCTCTAGGGATGGTAGCTATAAAAAAAAGAACAGTAATTGGTTTATGAAACGCTATTTAGCATTTGGATAGTAGTTATTTATATACAGAATTTTGCAGACTGTTTACATGACGCACTGAACATTTAAATAATCATAAGACGCAATCATAAGCAACAAAGCGTTTTACAACTCCATTATAGTCTTACTTGCCTTCTTCGTCGCAGTTACCCGTGCAAAACGCAACTGAGAGATTGCTTTTCATCCTTCTCATTTGTGTGTTGGTTGCTTTTTTCTTTACCAGAAATCCTTTGTGGAACGTATTTAATGTATTACTCGATATTGCCAGATACTACAATTCTACAATGCAACAAAACGTAAGCAAAGCGCTAGATGTAGATACTCCGTTTTTCAGAAAGCAAAATATTCAGCAAATTGGACAGCATTGTAAAGGAGCTGTCACAACAAGACGTCATTTTCGTTTCCATGTTAAAAATTCTCAAGTACCAAGCACAACGGACAGCCGCGCTACCATATTATTTTACAGGAAAAGGTAAACAAAAACATATGGCTTTAGAACCAAAAATAAAGATATGAACGCAAACGTAAACGAAAAGTTTAAAAAACAATAAGCAAGTTATAAAAAAATTAACATATTTGTTGATTAATTAGTGATAAGGAAAATTTATTTACTTATACATAGTATATACATATTAGATATATCTTTACGTATTAATTTTTCAATAATTTGGAAACTATCATTTATCACCTTCTAATAAAACAATTTGATGAATATATTCAACGTTAAAATAAATGGTATAAACCAAAATTGCAAATCACACATCAAAAAATCAATTCGATAAATAACTTTAAAACGATCTCTAGGGAATGATTATAACTTCCTCTCCTGTTTTTTCTCTTTTTATCGTATTGGTATGTATGCATGCATGTCAATTCCCATAAAATTGCATTAAAAGTCAGTAAAGTCGAACCCCCCCATATAGAAATAACTCCTCATTGTGTTAAACCTCTAAGAGCGCAAATCGTCCAATAACGTATCGTCATGTGGATCATTATTTAATTTTTATAGTCACATCAAAAGAAATAAAAAAGCCTAAAGAAAGGGGGAAAAAAAGAGAATAAGACAGCCAAAAATGTAACATATTGAAGAAATATTTAGTTAATAATTGCTATGATTGTTTTTATCCGTAAAACGAACACTTGGAAACATGTACACAGCTATATTGATTGAAATAATTTTATACAGATTTCTATGCAGAAATATAGATACTTTTGAATTTGAGGGCCACACACGGCACAGACGTAACATTAAATTTGTACTAGAGTGTTGGAGAATACATTAGTAGTAAAGATGGATATAGTCTTTATGTTAGAAAAATATTTAACGAACTTTTCTGTTATTAAAATAAACAAATTATTCTTTACATTGCTCTTGCCAATTATTGCTTGAAATTAAAAAATTATGTTTCGAGGAAGTGAAATCAAATTATGAATGTTAATGCCGTATGAATTCTGCATCGGTTTTACCGAGTTCCGTACAGAGCGCCTCAAAACAATCATTTATACTTTATCTCAGAGAGAAATGGTTGTCATATTTGAGACTACTTTCTTTACCGTTACTAATTCTTACTATACAAAACGTTACATCTATTTTTGATCAAAAACAAGAATAGAAAATTTAAGCAAAAATAATTGCTTAGTTTAGAAAACATTAAAAAACGATCAAATTTCATAAACTATTCTAAACTTTTACTATCGTTATAAAAAATTAAAACTCTAAAAACGAAAATACGCTACTACCGAATTTCGCAAACATGACAGAAAATATCAAAAGATTTCATTTGCTGCAACATAATCTGTCACAGTTCTGTTGTATCTGTAACGAGATTTTCTAATAAGAGTATTTTACGATACGTTAAATTGCATAAATGTTATATGTGGGCAAAATTTTTCTATGTGGCAATATTTAATTTCGAACGCAAGATCCTAGCAGCAGAACAAACAAAGTTAATAGTGCCTGTTTAAAAAGTTCAATTGAGAATTTCGCTTAAATTTTAAATTAAGATAAATGTTGGCTACTACTACAAATGGTGGCAATTCAGCTGCCAATGCGTCGGGTATTCCGGACAAGTCTTGGCAGCCGCATTTCGTACGACTGGAAACAACGTATGTAGCAGATATAGTTATATGACCCTTTATATATATATATATATATATATATATATATGCGTGGAAGTTAAAAAATGCTGTAAAAAAATATGTTTGCATTTCAGTATGGGAGAAATAACTGTGGAATTGTACTGGAGGCATGCACCTAACACGTGTCGAAATTTTGCGGAATTGACGAGACGAGGTTACTATAATAATGTCGTTTTCCATCGTATAATTAGAGATTTTATGATTCAGAGCGGCGATCCCACAGGCACTGGCCGTGGCGGAAGTTCTATATATGGTCTGGAGTTTGCCGACGAGATTCATCCAGACTTGAAGCACACAGGAGCTGGAATATTATCAATGGCCAATTCAGGGCCAGATACAAATGGTTCACAATTTTTTATTACTTTAAGCCCCACACAATGGTTGGATGGCAAACATGCTATTTTCGGACGGGTCTATATGGGCATGCAAGTGGTTAAGCGAATTGGTATGGTAGAGACCGATAAAAACGATCGGCCAGTAGACAGTGTGCGGATAGTAAAAGCTAAAATTGAATGGTCGTAGCAATATCTGATGTATAGGAAGAAAGGAAAAAATATTTATTATTGCTAGATTTAATAAATATAGTTTTTTACATTTACATTTAAAAATATTTTTGAATGAAAAATAACAAGTTTAAATCAAAGGACAAAAAAATTTGTTGTGATGCTTGCTCGTCCGGTTTTCTCTCCTTAGACTCGCTCTCCTACATGGACAATCATAAATACAAGAATTATTTATGTTATAACCATCAAACTATTTCCATTTAAAAAAAAAATGGCTATAGATTTTATGTTTGATAGTAATCTACATGGTGCCATCCAGCATATCGACTAGCCGTTTGATTTCGCGTCTGAAAACAAAATGCAAATAATAAAAACGGTACGGTTTTATTAAACATTTACTCACATCCGTAAACCCAATTGTTCAGTAGGTTGCATAGATTTCGATATTTCTTCGGTTTTAGCCATAATAGTGTACATACATTTAATGTTAGCATCCATGCTATCTGTGAGTTTATTAACAGCATTTTTGTGTACTTCAACGTTGTCAGCGGTAATGGATGAAATGGAATGTAGTAAGTTGCAAAGATTTTCGGTCAAGTTGTCTACCGACGTAGCCAAATACTGAGCCTCGATTTCTATGTCATTCAAAACATTAGAATCAATTTGCGGTATTTGGGGCATTTGTAAAAAATGACGGGTCATAACTCCAGCGGTGGAGGTAGACGGCGTGCTCTGGTGTGACAAAGTTCCACTCAAAACGAACTGATCTGAACGAAGAATTGACAATATAACTTCATATTAAATTAGTAAGTTTGCCAGTTACCTTCTCTATTTTGAGGGCTTGATATTCTTAATTTTTCTTCCAAGTTCTCGGCCACAAAATGTCTCATCTGGCCAGTGTCATTCTCATTTGAACCTTCCAGTTCGTATGGTATAGCATCATTTAATAGAGAGTTTGGCCTTTTGGGAGTTTTGCTGCCAACTTCTAGAGAGCTACTTTTTGAATTTTCTTCTGCTCCACTATCGTCTTCTTCATCTTCTAGACTTTCTTCCCGTCCAATTGTTGGTCTTGGAACAGTGGGTGTAGTATCATTTAACACACTATCTGGTACTGAACCTGCATATTGCGCAAGGAACGGTATTTCTTTGTAAGATGAGCCAACCTCAGAACTGGCCACAGATGTTTTTCTAATTTTATTCAAACTTTCATTGTCGCCTTCACCTTGCTCCTGCGGCAGCCCATAACGAGGTCGAATTGGTATATCCTGGGAACGACGAGACATTTTTATCAGCTATAAATTGTGAAAAACGTTATTAATATTATCTGAATGTTTAATCTTTATTTAGTTTACCGAAGCCCATGAAGACCATCATAGGCATTAATTACCTTATGTTGACATATTTTTATATACAGTGTTGCATTAAAGGTAGATATTACTTAAGTTTTAGTATTTGAAAAATGTTCTAAATATACATCGATTTCATTTAGTTTCATTTTCTATATTTCATTTGCCGAAGACCATCAAGAACACAATGGACATTAATTACCTTATGTTGCATTAAGGATAGATATTATTATTATTATTATTTTAATTTTAGACTAATGAAATGAATTCTTAGACTAAAAAAAAGACATTGAGCACTAGCAACACAGGCTATCGGCTCAGGATAGATATTATTTTGATTTTAGTATAAGAAAAATGTTCTAAATTTACAAAAGAAGTCGTTTCATTTAAATCTTTTAAAAAGTCGAATAAAATTAAACGTTATTTCGACGCGTTTAATATTTGCGCAATTTACAATCTTTAAAGATAATTGCAGAACACCCAGCTAAAAGCTAGGAAAGTAACGTTTTAATATATTTTTATGTGACTCAACAATTACACTTTAGCAATACTGCCTCTTATTGACTTCGCTATCTACATACCTTGTCGATAAAATAATGCAATATCTGAAGCAATACATAACTTCATTGTTAATTATTGTTTCACTCGTAGCTCATCTGATATACTGAAATTGATGAATATTATAAATTTTTAGCCATTTTTTCCTCACAGCTGGTTAACCAAACATATATAAATTATCAAAATAATTATTTTTGTCGCTAATAAGTCCTCCAAATCACTTGTAACGGCATATATTTACAATGTCATCATTCGAATGAAGATTCATCTTCTAAAAAGATTCGTTAACTATACTTTCTCCGTAACCAATGTCTAGAATTTAATTAAATGAAAATTTCGTGTTGACCGAAGAGTGTTAAATTATGTAAAATATATATTATTGTATGTAACATGAACATTTTACTCTCACTTTTAATTGTTAAAAAAACAAAGATTACATATTTGAGTACAAACATCGGACCTAAAGGAGTCTTATCCGAAACTAGACGTCAAGCATTAAGATTATATCAAATTACAATGAATCAGTTGTACCACAAAATTCCTTTAATTTAAATCTTTAAAACTGATATTTTTTTATACTTTAATAAGCATTATATGAACCCTTAGAAAATTAATTTTTCCCAAATGAGCTGCATTACGATTTAGTATAAATTGTGAATAGTATAATTTTTTACAGTATTTTGCAACACTGCATATTGTTGATGACAGCTGTGAAACAAAGAACAGGTTTGTCATGTATTTCGCGTTTAGTTGCAATTATAAACCAGTGGACGCTGAGAAAAAAGAATTAATTGCAAATTTTATAGTTCTTAGATTTTTAATAAATTAATTATAAATCAGTAAAAAAGAAAGTAGAACTATCCCGTTAAACAAAATTACTTAATTGCCTTAAAAATAAGCGACTAAATGTGCACTACAGTGTTACACAACGACTGTACATTTTAATGAAAGACAGAAAAGTTCCATTTTTTTCTTATATTTGATGACGCTTGAGAAAATGGCGAATGGTGTTAGCATGTGCTGCCTAATTTATAAAAGGTGAAACTAAGAAATTTCGGAAATCTAAACGTATTTACTATAAATAAAAAAACAATTCTTAAATATAGTTATTACGAATTTGAAAGCTATTACGTGAAATGAAAAAAAGTTCTTGAACAAAAAGAAAAAAAAAGAAAAGGACGTAGTTTAGCTATGTATATGTTCGTGCGTATTTACTTTCCTTCTGCCATCATTAAAAGTGCTCTAATCGATGTATCTGTGCGATTTCTATCATTTGAGCCATTTACGAGAATTTGTGTAAAAAATAATACACAAAAAAACACGACGATATGGGATTGATGTATATACACGTAAGTAAAACATTGTGTAAAAAAAAAAAACAGAAATTCGACACGCATTTGTTTTGATTTGTATATAGAGAAAGCGAAATTTTGTTTTTGTTATTATTATTATTATTAAGGTAAATAAGCTCTGAAATCCCTTAGAGCTCACCATTAATTTAGCAATAGTGCGATTTGGCACTGTGTTAGGAAAATATTAAATAACAAAATTTCTGTTACGACAAATACATAAAAACAAATGCAGTCGCAATGTATAATGTTTCATCCCGGGATCTAGAAAGTTTTGTCAGTCCTGTAGTACCGGGATTTTCAGTTCAAGATTCGTCATTGATACAATAATTCTGTAAGAAGAGGGAAAATATATTTAAAACCTAATTCTCCATTTGCTTCTAAGATAATTAGAAATATTTTGAATTGTTTTTATAGTGTGAGGTCAGTTGGAATGGTAGATATTGGTTTTACTGGGGAAAGCTTTACGTGCGTCCAACACGTGCAAAGATATTTTATTTATTACTTGTCCGAAATTGTCCGTTTCGTGTCATTTGGTTGAAATGTTTCATATAAAGATCATGAAGGTGATAGGACAGATAGAAAGTTTGAAAACGCATTTCTCATAAGATGTGTCTCGGTGTATTTAAGAAATTTGTGCATGTTGAGTACAGGCTTTTCGTCGAGATGCGAGTAGAGGTAGATTCACATTGAATGATATTTATGTTTGTTCTATCCGTAAGTAGTTTGTTCAGTTCTTTCACTTTTATCTATTTATTTGTTCTTTAATAAAAGCAATACCCGTAATTATGAAGTTTCTTAGTTGAAATGATATTTTAATATAAAAGATTTAAAAAGATTTGATTGAACCATATGTTAAGAATAAGATGATGAAAATTGCATGTAAACCTTCATTTCCATGACGAAATTATTACTGTAAGCAAGCGGAACATCTCGCGCCTCTTTGTTTTTTAGCAGACATAATATGAATCATATCTGTTGTCTCTGTTAAAAGTCCTGCAGTTATCCTTCTTAATCAGCGTACATTTACTGCATATATTGCGTCGTTAGTAATTCTTCTTCTTTTCTCCTTTATAATTTTAAAACTCATTACCATTCCGTTTGCTTTCGTTGTTGGCATGATTGGGGAGGCAAAAATTCGATTTGCCGGGAAAATCCAATGTTCGTTCCCTTCGGTTTAATACGTTTGCTTATCCTCAAACGAGAATGATGCTTTCATTAAGCAAAGTCAAAGGATTTCGTCTAAAATGTTTAACGCGGAGGGAAAGACTGACTTTTATTTACTCTAGCATGAATCATTATTTTTTTACATCAAATTGCTATTGATGCGCCCCTTTCGTCTTGATTTGGTTTTCCTAAAAGGAAAATCGTTGTTACGTTCTTGTTGCACACGTATCATTTTCGGAATTTCCTTTAGTTTTAGTAATGCGTAAAAGGATCTTCCATACACATACGTACACTATTTTTTACTTGTGATTAGAAAAGTTTTTCTTGTGCTGTTATATTTTGTATGTTTATGTTGTTATTTCTTTGTGGTTTCATTTGCTATATGAGGGGCGTTTACTGTTTTAAATGATGGCAACCTTGTTGGTAACTGTATGTACCCGGCAATTTTGTATGTGGAACTCTCTATCTCTTACTCTTGGCCCGCTCAATCATCGGTAGTTTTTATTATGGGTATTTCAACTAAGGCAACAATGACAACTACTTTAAGAGCTTGTCGCTTGCTTGACGTATTATCTGCCGTCTAACAATTCCTGATGAGTAACAGCGGGTATGAGTCAAGGGAATCCTCCACATGCGGCTTACTTCGCTTTGGCAATTCACCCACGCGTTAATTTACGATTCCATATGCGTTTGTGTTTGAGAGCCATTCACAAATGCTTTTCAAAGTAGAATATGGTAAAAAAAAAAAAAAAAAAACTAAAATTAAAGTGAATTCAGTTCAACTATGAGGAAAATGGAAATTTTTTCCACATATTTGTTATTTGTTAGTTGTATTTTTCAAACTTTTGCGTTATTAGAAAGTTGTAATATAACCACACATAGAAAGAGGGATTGAGAGCGAGAAAAAATGAAAGAGCAGTTTCCATATATATGCATATATATAAATATATGTGTGTATATATACAAATTTATGTGTTTTCCTGCATGCACTCCTATGAGTGCAAATAAGAGATCAACGTTGGCTTGCTTCTTTAAATTTTTTTTAGAAGCGTTTAGTGATCCGATGACTGACAGAAGACACGCTCATTCGCAACTAGGTGCTTCTACAAGAGCGATTTTTTTGGTATTTCTGAGTGAGATGTTCTTTTTCTTCTCCAGATGGACTTTGAGTAAGGCGCCTCGATATTTTTTAAAGTAGTGATGGGTAAAGTGGAGGCCTTTGCGTTAAGGGAAAAGTTTGTGTGGTGTACCTCGATATTACAATAAATCCGTGCCATTTTAATAAGTTTAAAGTTAAAAAGTTAATTTACATGCATCCCAAAAAGAAATGCATTATAAAAAATTTTAAATTATTTTCTGCCCCCAAATTTGCGTGGAAAACCATTTGCATCGAATCTGAATAGCGGTTCTAGCATTTTCTGAAGCTGTCAGCTTTAATTCTAACCTGCTCGTATTGCATTTCTATATATATGTATATAACAAAATGAAAAACATTAGAAAAATTATCTCATTTCACTCCAAATTATTTATTAAGTTTAACAAAATATGATTAGATATTTTTGTTTAAAACCACAATAGATGTTAAATTAATATCAAATATATTTGAGAATAATGATATATTTTAGAGAGTACGTAAGTACTTATCAACTGAAAATATATAGAACAGTACCGCAAATGCGGCCACGTAAGCTCCGCCTGCAGTATAAGAGATAATAGCTTCTCATCATCTCACCAAAAAGTATGCTGAACAAAGTACACACGATAATAGAATAGATTAGATTATTTTATGAATAATAGAAGAAAAAAGGCGGTCTTCTATTTTTTTAGATATTTGAAAATCAAATTTAAAAATGTTGGAAATAAAAGCATTACTTCGATAGCCTGGGGTTGCGTATCTGCTGTTTTACAAATAAAATGACGAAATTAATTACGGTTTTGAATATTTATTTAACACATATAACATGACTACGAGTTGTTTTTAATTTTCTAATTTATGAATTTTTTGAATTATCTTTTTCTCTCAATGTTATACCCTACATTGTACTGTATATTACAGGCTTGTGTAGTGCAATACATTCTGGTTTTCAAATGAATGGAGAAATAGTTTGTGCTCTCATGCGTTTTTCCATTTCTCGCTCTCTTAATGCGTTCTTTTCTCCCCACTCAATTTCTTGTTTATCTCTTATAATGCTCAATAATTGTGTTCTTATTTTAGTGTTTTCCATTGGTTAGGTTTTTGTTATGCTCGTAAGCTCTCAGAGTGATTCATAACACCGACGTTAACGGACATAGGTTGCGGATAGGTAACCTCGTTGCGCTACATTCATTATTATTGTGTGAAAAGAAAGAAATTTATTGAGAAAAAAAAAAAAGAATTCAGAAACGAAAGAAAAAGCAGTAAATGCTCTTGTGTTAGTGCATTTCTCTCTATGTGTGTATGCGTTTATGTGTTTTTGTTTGTGTTCGGTATTTTTTCAATGGTTGACTGTTAGGTGACAAACGCCATTAACGACCATGTATGGGCTGGTAGAGGTCTTACATGTATTCTGCTCCGGTTTTTAACGTCAACCCGTCTTCGTTTAAACGCAGTAGTTGACAGAGAAAACATAAATAATTGTTAAAATAGAAATTATTTTATATCTCGTATACACGGGCTAACGAATATTTAGCTACCCTCATGAGCGGAAAATAGAGAAAGAGCGAGAGAGAGAGAGAGAGAGGTTGGTGTAATATTGTAGATACAAATTGTTATATATGTTTTAAAATTATGAAATGATGTAAAAAGAATAAAGTATACGACACGAAACGCACAGCGCTTAAGTATGCCTAAAAAACGAAAAGCGTCCGTTTTAATGACTTTGTTGGTCAATCGGGCTAAATTTCCCTCCCACTCTATCGGTTAAGTGTTTGGCCGTGTTTCCGTTGTTTAAGAAGAAAAGCAAAAGAATTTTCAATAATACTACGTCTTCATCGTGTGCATGTCATTTTGCATATTCATTGAATCTAACAGAAAATTCATTTGCTAAATTTGAGACGGAATTCTCAATTTATAATTGAATTAAATTTCTATATACGTTTACGTTCACACTTCATCTTTGCTGCATATATGCTGTTATTATTATGCATTTAAAGATACGCTTTTAAGTTTAATATGTGAGAAGAGTTGCTTTTGTTTGTTTTTATTATTTGGTTGTGTTGTTTTGTTTTGTATTTTATATTTTGTTTTTTGTTGTTGTTGTTGTTGTTTTTTTTTTTTTCTTTTTTAAATGCTCTCATTTATTTAACTTAATTATCATCGACTGAACATGATAATTATTGGAATGATAGAGCAGGTTGACGATGACAACGACCGCAGGCCAGAGCTTGGCACCAACACCAATAAATTTCGCACCACAGCAAACAGTTGAACAAAATGGTTGATTGTTGCTGTTGAATCGCGTCTGTTGGTCTCTCCGTCTGTCGGTCGATCGGACAGTTGTTTGTTTAGCTTAACTTTTTACCATTTTAAAGTTTATTTTCATCATTGTCGTTATCGTAATGCTTTTGCAGCTGGTGGTTGACTGCCTCGTTGCCGCCTAGGCTGACTAAATTTTCATAAGGCCGCCTAAAGTATATGTCCGTGCGATTGCATTAATGTAGCCTGTTGTAGGCATGTTAGCTGCTTAAAACAAACCGGCTTTTTTGTAAATTTCCTTTTTTTTTCTCTCTGGTTTCGTTATTTGTTTTTAAATAATACATTTTTTACTTGTTTGCTTCTTTGCTGTCTCGGTCGCGTAGCAGATCTGAGTATTGCGCTGTGTACATTGTTTGCTGTATACGAATACATACAAAATTTGATTCGGCGCAGCTTTCGAAATTTTCGCTTAGTTTTTTTTTTTGGTTTTTGTTTTGCTGTCGTTTTACGTTTGTTCTCATTATTAGCACCCAATAGTAATTGTGAGTAGATTCTGTTTTTGTGGAAGCAAATATTTTTCATCAAAACAAATTAGAAAAAATAAAATATTTTTTTTCGACAATCGCAAAAAGGCAAACGTAAGCGATTAGCTGTAAAATCTGTATGCAATCAGACGCCCATTCTACAGGCATTACATGGGATTTTCGTTTATTCTTTTAAATATGATCGAGTATTCAGGTCGAATTTCTTTGGTAGGTTTCTCTGCTTTTTATTTTATTTATTTTTTGGTTAATTTTTTCCCTTTTTTTTAAGTTTTAAGATTCTTTCTTTAAGATAAATTTTAACTCAGTTCATTAGTTAATTTGTAAAAAAATTTTAAATGCTTAAAATGATTTGATTTGGTCATTCACTACACACCCGTCATTCATTTTCTTTTAGCAGCTACACTCCTTGACTGATCTATTGCAATTTGATTTATTATTAGGCAGTATTCAATTAAATCTTTAATAATTTTTCCATCTGTTTCAAAGCCCCATTGATAAATTATATACATTAACTGTTTGAGAAACTATCATGGGAAACTATTGGTCTTTTTTAACTTTAAAGCTTATATGTCGCTATTTTGTGTTAACTTGTTTACTTTTGAGTATCCTTTTGTTGCGAGCAAAGAACCCAGACAGGGCGTCATAATTGGGCCTATGATTGATTCTTTAGATCGATCAATGCTTTCGCGTATTCTCAGCATTTGCAGAAGTTTTTATTGGTATCACTTACTACGGGGAAACTCGTGTTTATGGTAAAGCCTTAACACCAAAAAATTTTCCTTCATTTTCAATGCATTGCTGGCAAACATTTCCATTTCGAATATAGAATTCAAAATAAAGTCTCTGATAACTACGTGAACAGTAAAGTCTCTTTCATTTCATCCTAGTTTTTGGTGTTTAAGTGTTTAGATATTTAAGTTTGCTCTCAAATTTATTTGATATTAAATTTTTGGATATTGTCGAAACACTGCACATGGAAACCAGTAGGGGGGGACATATTAGTTCTTGTGGTTACCCATGAAAATGCTGCAGGTTGTAAAAAAAATTGTGATTCATTGTACATACGATAAACAATGTACGATGCAAGTAGAGCGATTTAATCTTTATACTGACTTGCTATAAAAATATCGCATATTTATAAATTTAGTATTTTGTATATTGTTAGGTTTGGGAAGAAGAAATCCATTATTTTTAGGCGAACTTTAAGATTTTTTTTTAGGATGTGTCGGATTATCAATTTAGGACAAAAATGCAACATGCTCTCTAGTTTGTTGCCATTTTAAAGACGGCTATTTAATGCCTCTCTAATAGCAGCCTTGGTCTCATTTGGCGAAAAATCGTAGTAAACGATTTTCAGTATTTTCTCTTGATGACAATTTCTTATCATCGCTTTTCTTACAGTCGCTTGGCGTTAGATACGGGTGTATGTAGTGGATGGATCAAACTCCCCAATCAAGTTCCCAAAGTTTCTAGGGACTCACCAAAGACCTGTGTGGTCTGGCGTTGTCTCGATAGAACAGAACACCTCTCCTGTTGGCCAATTCTGGCCGTTTCTGCTCACTTTAAATGGTCCAGTTGTTTATATATAATATAAATAATAAATGATTCCTTTCCAGTCCCACCAAATGCACAGCAAAACCTTGCTGGCCGTTAATCTTGATTTTTACCGCGGTTTGACCACGATCGTTCTCACACATTGTCATACGTGACTTATTTCTCATCCCTAGTCAACATCAGTTTAAGAAAGGGGTCGATTTCATTCCGTTGCAAATGAAAATTCAAGCCATCGTCTCTTTTTGTGTTGATTGCTGTGACACCTAATATGCCGGTCAACTTCGATCATCTTTGCGATTTTCGACGACGGGCCGACCTGTGCGAGATGAACCAAAATTGCTCGTCATTGACTGTCACAGTATCGGGATCATAAACAGCATTAAAAATTTCATCTTCCTGGCTTGTATTTTCGCCGTTATTTTCGTGGACTTTCATTTTTAACACCCTGTAGCACACAACCGAACGGATCAAAACAAAAAACAACAAAAGAATTTTTCTTAGTCCGAAATGTTGCCTCTCCAACGGGCATAAATCTGATTTATCGATCACTACAGCTACCTACCGGAAAAATCATAGATTTCTATTTTTCCAGCCTAATAATTACATTTAGATTAAGCCGAATGTAACTATTTGTATATCCATCATCAAGAGGATTTATGAATATGTATAAAGCATTTTGCAACAGCCCTAAAAAGTATATATGCATATACGTGATCAGTAACACATTCTGTGTCGATCAATCCGTCTGTGTAAAATGTCTATTAATTAATCTACTTATGCTAAGCATTCTCTCGCTCGTAAGCATTAAAATATTGTTTTGAAATTTGAAAATACCGTTAGACGTTCTTGCACACAAGTTTCTATTGGAAATGAGCCAAATCTATTCAAGTAGATGCCGACAGTACAATATAAACTGGGAACATCTTAACGTTTCTAAAAGCACAAAAAAGGGTGTCTTTATATATTACTCATAACTCATAACAGATATAATGATAAAAATTTCCGCGAAAAGAGTAACGAAATTCTATCATTTTTTTTTTTTTTTAAGATGAATATAGTGGGCGTAAGAGATTCTCTCAAAGAAAAGTATGCTTTTCTTACTTAGTTCTCGTTAAAGAAGCTAAAGAAAATTATTATATTGAGCCGATAGCCTGTGTTGCTAGTGCTCAATGTCTCTTTTTTTTAGTCTAAGAATTCATTTCATTAGTCTAAAAATTAAAATAATAATAATAATAATAATAAATTATTATATTAAGTGTGAGCCCAAATAAATTTCAATTGACAGCAATAATAGTAATAATAATAGTTAATCTACTTTTCTTCTTCCCTTATTAATATTCATTACAGTTTAAATGTTAATAATTATTTTTGGAACTTAATTGGGAGCCATTCTTTAATCATAAATGATAATTGCATTAATGAAAATATGATGACATCGCGAAGAACAAATAAATTTTATTATTAATTCAAATTACTAAAATTGCAAATAATGTAAATAGAGGGAAAAAACAAAGTAATTAACTGAATAAATTATTTAAATTCTAAGATTTAAAGTAATTTATATAAATACATATAAATATACAAAACAAAAATAAAAAAATAAAAAAAAAAAATAAAAATAAAAACAAAAAATTAATTTAATTAATTAGATTTTTAAATTAAATTTATAATTATATAAACAATTATAAAACAACAGCCAGCAGCAGCATTAACAATAAAATGAATTACAATTAAATCAACTTGAAATGCTAACGTAATCGTCATTTTTGTACAAAATGAAAATAATAGCAATCGTCCGCCTCCACACTCTTGTTAAAATGAATGACATGAAAATCCACTGGCGGTGAGTTAGTAACAACTATATAACCATTCAATAAAACCAAAAAAAAAAAAAAAAAACCCGTAATATAACAACAAATGGTCATATAAAGCCATTGATTGAGTCGCAAAAAAAGGGAGAAAAAGTAAATCCGATAACTATAACAAAAAACATAATAAACGATTGGATTGCAATTGTGGACTGATTGCTGTTGAAAAACAAAGCAGAAGAAGAAATATTTGCATTAAAATTGCAAGCGTACACAAATGAAAACGTCGCATATAAACGCGTCTAATTTCGACTATTCCAGTCGCCCTGTATATGAGGGTGAACAACAACTAGAAGCGGACGAGCGAAACGTATCCTTACTCTATGCAGCTAATACAATTGAAACGGAACAGCAACAGCAACAGCAACAACGACGTGTTAATTATCAACAGCAAACAATTAACGATAGGGTGTCACATCAACCATTCTCAGCCATTGTTTATCCTGTGAAGCATTCGCCTGCAGTTGTTGAAGATTCACCAGTAGAACGGCAGAAGCAACAACAACAGCAACAATTTGTTGGTAGCATTGTTATAGCTGCAGCCGATAGTGAAAGTGATAATATTAATCAAGTAAACGATCACCACCACCACCACCACCACCACCACCATCACCAACAACAACAACAACAACAACAACGGCAACATCAACAAGAAAGTGTCATTTATCTTGACGATAACGAAGCAGTGAATTCACATTCTCACAATAATAATAATTATCGCGACAAACAAAGGCAACCGAATGCCGCCAGCTTAAGCGAACAAAATTTGCCTCTAACAGCATCATCATTTTCATCATCAAAAATACGCTACACCTCATCAACAGCGAACAGCAAATATCAACAGCAACCACCACCGAGATCGTCAACGCTACAAAAGAGCTCCTCCTCTTCAATCAAACGTAAAAGAGAAGGTGAGTTATTTATTTAATATACAAAAATTTCCTTTTTAAAAGAATTCACTGAGACAGAGACTAAATGTAAAAGAGAAAAGAAAGTTAATTCCGTTTAGAAATCAAATATTGTTGTTATGGTTTCAATATAGCAACAGAGAAGTGTAGCTATCGCCATACATTCTTACATATAATTTACATATATCATCAGACGCATTGATGATGATTTTACAGTGTATATCAAGCGATGAAAGGCGAAGAAGAGGAATGCAACTCGTAGGGCAAAATAATAAACAAAAAAAAAATTTAAAAAAAAAAAAAAAAAAAAAAACAAATTGTCTGACGAAATATTTGAAAAAAAAAAGACAGAGTTTCCTAAGTTTGTTGTTATCGTTTCGAAAGTCTAATGCGGAGAGAGAAATATTTGCCTACGACCAATAAAAAAAAAAAAAAGAAAGAAAAGAAAACTAGAAAGTGAATACAATAGGGCACAGAAAAAATATATCCAACTCTTCTTTTACACGTTGGACACGTTCCAGAAACAACCATGTAAAAACGAAGTTTATCTCTTCCCTTCACCAATATATACATATCATATACATGCATATGAAATTCATATAAATACGCAATAAAAAATACAAATACGAAATTCGATTAGCAAACAATACATTAAGTTAGAAAAAAATTGACTGAAAAGTGAGACATTTCCATATTTACATATATATACATACATATATAGCGGACTTAGTTAAGTGTTGTGTAAAGACACCAATGCAAAGCAAAATATCCAATTATCTTTCGACTATTCAAAAGGAATCCGATCTATGACAATAAAAACGGCAGTCGGTATGGCTTAACGTTCGTCGAAAGTTTTAGGTTCGATTGATTACCGCTTCGATATTTATGTTATGAAGAAGAAGAGTGCTATGTATTAACGTAAAGAAATGTTTTACTCATTTTTATAAGTGTCATCTTGCAGTGAGTAGGTAATAATAATTACAAAACGCGTACGTACACGTTAGTTATGTGACACTCTGACAGCTCGATTGAGGAAGGCAAAGAGATTCCTTTTTTTTCAATTTTATTTTTTTTCAATTTTATTTTTGTAGATTTACTCAAGTGAAATTAAGCTTTAAGACTCCATAATAAAAGTTTTAATTCGTTAGGTTCTGAAACGCGTACTTCGCGGAATAGGTAGAGACTTTTCAAAGTTCACCTTTCTCTAATACAATTCGTCATTTTGATTATGAAGTGTGAGAAGTACACTTCTAATGCAATATCATTGTTTACTTCTGATAAGACCCTTTAAAATGTTGAGGTCTACAAATGAAATCTATTGAAAATGGATTGGATATAGTATTTTATTACTTATAAATCGATAAGGAAGTGTTTCAAGTGAAGCAATGCATCGTATGGTGTACTAGGTATATATTTATGTAAGTCGGTATAAGGGACACACGTTTATTGTAAGAAAACAGAAAGCTAGTTACACGTTTTTATCATTTGCCTGACAATTTGTGGGTGCCACGCCTAGAAAATTGTGGTTCTTTTGAAGCAAAGCACACACCGAGCCATTTTCGTACATTTTCGTGAGAAGTGAAGTGTTCCAGCATATAATCTTCCTGTCAAACCGAAGCAGTCTCGCTTGAAGAATCTATCTCTCAAAATCGATTCATTTTTCATCTCCCGCTAGGATACGATGTAAAAAAGACATTCTCTTATAAAGTTTGCGCAAAGAGCAAATGCCGCTATTTTCTTTCTTAGAAAAGCATTTTTGCCTTCCTGTTGTATGCCTTGCTATTACGTCTGCTTAATACTGGCAAATTTTCAAGCTGTAAACGGAAATTTCATCTTTAGATTTTTTACACGTCGTGTTAGGGCAAATTCCGGTTTCATATTTACATTATCTAGTAAAGATCGGCGTCGTTCGAATCTGATGTGTTTAGTTGCTTTTTATCAGAAGACAATACGTACGACCCAAAAATACTAGGTATCGCGTGTTCTAGTCATACACTTTTTCATATTTCACATTTCCTTGCTATATCATCATAATAAAGGAGTCCAAATATCAAAAATATCGATGAAAATTATATTCAGATGATGACGAATTTTTTCGCATTCATTATTTGCAGTAAATCTCACTAAAGAAGGGTTTGCAATGCATTAAAAGTCGTTTCGAAAGATTACATTTTTTTTTTTTTTTTTTTTTTTTTTTAATAACAATCTTCAGGGGGCAGTGTCGACTCGTGTAACACGATGATACATAGAAAGCAATGAAGTAAGGGAAAGTCTAGTGGAAAGTGGATGGGCTTTTAACGACTAATCGCCCACTGTGTAGCTGTGAGCAAAGTAAACTATCGCATTGAGGTTTGAATCCGCGAGCATTCACATTGACGTGGTAGTCGGGTTTCTTAGTAACTATCCATCCGGCTATCCTTTCGGGACACTAGACAATATATACATGTATATATATATTATATGTAACTTTTTATTCGCTTATACAGTTCATCGAATTCAGTTATTACGTAAGTGTATGTGCGAAATCGTTGACTCTTGTATTGTTCTGTACGTTAGTTGAGAGTTTAAGAATGAAAATAAAAGCAACCGTTTAATCGCCATTAAGAGGGGGGAGTTAGTTGTAATCTTAGTGTTTTCTGTAAATGTTCGTATTGTTCGTGTGCGGTGTTAAGAGAAAGTCAGTCTAACAATTTGAAGAATCTTTATAAATAGCTTTATTCTTATAGAATTGTTGGCCTCGTTTAGTAAAAAATCTTGCTTTAAAAAAAGGTCATAAAATATATTTTTCTACCGTTGGAAAACTTCATCATAACTGAATGGTTAAGAAATTTCTTGCGGTACTGCTTACGTTAATACTTTGCGTATGTTTGTATTGAATTATTATTCCTTTCAAAGAGCGCGAAAAGCGAGAGGAAAACGAACACCAAGACTTCTTGCTGTTAACATTTTCTAGTTGTTGGTAAAGTTAAAACTTGATTGAAGTGTTAAGGCAGCATCATCAGCAGCGGTACATGTTAAAATCAGAAGAGTCATGGAATTGCTACCATATAAATAAATGTAACCCATAAAAATAAAGAAACAACCTAAATACATATTTTACACATACTCTCTATATATGTGCACCGTATGTTTTTTTTTTTTTTTTTTTGTCTTAATTTTTTTCTTTTGTTGTGCGTTGTTGTGAGTGTATATTCTTTATTATTATTATTATTATTATTATTATTATTTTTTTACATTCACCATCAACAGTAAAGTAAAGACACAGCGGTGTATTAATTTCATCATCTGCAACGTATGTCTGTCAAGTTAACGTATGAAAACCCACCTGATAGTTATTTACTGGGACGTGCTCGATTGTGTTCCTTCGAGTGTTTGTCAAACTCATGAAAGTTGCAATAAAAAAATTTGGCAATGCTTTCTACACACATATGGTTAACTTTCACGAACAAAGTTGAAAACTGGATGTAACCCCTGAACAGACAGATACAAACCTGAACGAAAATATATTAAATTCAGAAATTTTTTTTTTTTTTTTTTTTTTTTTTTTTTTTCAATAAATGATAAAACTAATGATTTCGAATTTGCAAAAATTTTGAGTTAAACTGGTTCTGGACTGCTGTTTGCTACCCTTACTGCTAATGAAAGAGAGTGATTTTCTTATGTTTCATGTGTTGCTTATTGTCGTTATTCAACATATTTGTTCAACTGTTCTTTCCCTCTTTACTACTCATATGTTGCGGATTTATATTATAGATGTGCGTTCTCAGTTCTCAGCGTTTAAAATGACGTATCAGAGATCTGTAAAGAAAAAAAAAAAAAACATTTAGTTCTAATCAACATGAAAACGGTGTCAATGTTTACATATATACAGGGTGTCTAGTTATAGCAACGATGGTGGTGCTACCATCTTGTTAAAATCTTATTTGCCTTATTTGCTTATCATATCATATCAAGCGCAAACATCATTAACTATTGTTGGCTAACTAACTAGCCTAGCCAAGTTTTCAAAGCGGAATGGTCCGATGACGTCTTCCTCTCATAACTAGCAGCAAACAGTGACATGTTTCGGCTATATTCGTTTCTCAACAATTACTCGTCGATTTTTTGAATCTTACATGCGACAATTTTGTCGATTAACGTCGTGAAGGACAGGTGAAAGAAGACGAAAGTGAGCCACATCACTGAAGACAATTATTGTACTCGAGTTGTGATTGCCAGATTTACGTCATTTTTAAAATTTTACCCAACCATGGAAACGTCTTGTTCTCTCTCTGCCGCGTAAACGCTTCGTTTGTAATTACCGTTAACAGTCGGGTGTCATGTTTATTTTCCGCACTTTACCGCACAAAAGTCGCAAATTTCGAATCTTGCCTGAGTTCTTGAGCACTTGTTGTTATCATAAATGACAGCAAGGAACTCAAAATTTAGAGTACGTACGATAAATGCTTGATCATTATTTAATAATTGTCTCGACTGTTGGTAAAAGACGTCATCGAATGCTTTGTTTTCTTCATTCGAACAGAAGCCACTCAACATTCTCCAATTGTTTAAAAAGAAAGAAAGAAAGAGCAAAAAAAAAAATAAATAAATAAATTTAGGAAGAAAAAAAATGGAAATAATAAGTTTTGCAACTAGGTGATGATGGGTATCCAAGATTCGCTTTCATGCGATTATCGTTGTTTTACTTGTTTCGCATTTAATGTATTTTATGTGGTACGTTTTTAGAGCAATACTACGTGCGACGTACGCTCTCTTTATATATAAGAAGAGAAATAACTCAGTACGCAAATGTGCCCTTTCTTACATAACTTAAAATTGAATTTGTTGTTGTTGTTGTTGTTGTTGTTGTTATTTCAATTTTTTGTTGCTGCAGCTGTTGACTGTTTAGATTTGTTCATTTTGTATTTGTGAGTCAACAACATTTTTGCACTCGTCTACTTTGTAAGCATATTCTTCCTCTTACAAGCCTCTGAAAACTTTTCTAAATTACACTTAAACACAGT